AGGTAACGCCAAATTTCGAGAAATAATAGGCGGTTGAAGCGTAGTGCTAGCCACATTACCTTCCTTTGTATACCGAACTTGTCTAGTATGGCAAGCTGTACCTTGCTACTCCCAAGGCGTCAAACGCGCTATATGCAGGAGCTATTATTATTATAATGTAATATAATTTGTTTTAGTAGTTTTATTAAGAACGTTTTAATAAAGTTTCTTTCTGTTTCCTAGAGATCCTATTAGGTATGTATATATGTGATTAATTATTTTAACATATTTTAGTTGTGAAAAAAACAGTAGTATAAATATTATTAGGACATTCAGCTAGTAATATCTAATTAAAAATCTTATCAAACTTTAATATTAGTGATTTAATGTTAAATATTTAGTAAAATTTAATGTTGTATCTAGACATTAAAAATTAAATTTAAAAATCATTATACTATTAATTTAAATATAATTATAAAAGTAAATAAAATGAGTATATCTAAATAAGTTAACAATACATTTCGAAGATATAAATAAGGCCCACAAAAGGTACAAGTTGCGTTCTTTTCATTTTGAATTTAAAATATTTACCAATTCACTTTGTAACCGTATAAAATACAATACGGTACCTACTTTGTGTCCTGCCATGAAAAAATAGAAGTTTCTCAAAAAAAATTGTCGATTTATTAATTTGTGAAATTTGAATATTGATAAAATTTGCTACGCCCATTGATGGGCATAATTTGTACGTAACCTCTTTATATTGTTCACTAAATATTTTATTGGTATTTCTTTAACTCTTGTTTGTAACTCCTGGCATGTTTTTGTTAGTTGCATGTTTTTTAATTTTAATTGTCTATTCTCTACAGTGAAATATTTAATTGATTTTTTCATTTTTACTTGTCGAGAAGTATGCGCGGTTGAGGATTCATTTGTTTGGACTAAAGACATTATAAAGATAGACCGAACATCTCATTCATAAATACTCGTTGGTAGTGTATCAAACATTCCAATGTGTCAAACAAGGACAGAAGAGACAGAGAAGTCTAAAATTTCCGACCCCGGCAACTAGGCGCATTTGGGATTGTTCTAATGGCCAGTGGCGTATCGTTTTTGGAACGAATTTAATTAGTAAAGTAAAAGTAAAGTAATTGAAGTAAAATTTTTACTCCATATTAATATACTACATTAACACTTTTCGTCAGATGAGTTTTGTTATAAGATTTAATATAATAGCCAAATTAATATCCCACATATACTTATGTTGGAACGTTAGTAGTTTTCGAAAATCACTCAAACGTCGATTTTTCAATTTAAACTTTCAGTTACTTTTGAATATTTACAGGGTGACTCAGGCTTTCGAAACAGTTCTATATTAGGTTTGTGGTTGAGGTGACTTTTCTTTGAATTTTTTCAGGAATATGTAGGCATTTAGGCACATTTTAGACATTTTTGAAAACATAGGTGGCCGGAACATATTTTCAAACCAAAGTTGTAGATTTGCCATTAGATTTCCATTCAGAAATACCTAGGGTTGCCACTTGTCCTTTTTGAAAGGACAGTCCTTTGGAATAACTATCCTTTTGACTTTTTTAACCCAAAAGTCATTTTTATTACGTATTTTCCCTGAGAAAATTACCTACAACAAACAGAAATATTGCTTTTCATTAAATTTAATTAGGAATGTTATAAAACTTAACATAAATAAATTTTTTCTTGTTTAGAATAGGCAACATTATTTAGAACTTCCGTTTAATCTCAAATGATCGTTTAGGTTTTGGTTTTACCTTTTTTATCTTAAAAAGAACTTTTCAAAATTAGTACCTAATTAGTAACGATTTAGTTAGTTCGCAATCGATAGCTTCCTGTGAAGTACTGTGTAATAGTTGTCTAATCTTGTATTAATAACCCTATACCTAAAATCAATATTTAATGAAATTATTGTTTTTTTTGAAAATATAAAGACAATATTTGACTTTCGGTCTTCTTCTTGTATTATGATGGCTCTGATACGAGGCAATTGCCTTTTAGTCTCGCAATAGAAGGCATTTATCATTAAAATTATAAAATCATGTGCTACAGTATGGGATTTCTGTCGCATAATAATAAATACCTATTACGTTTATTTACAAATCCATTACTTTTAAGGTAGCTTTATCAGATAATCAAATTTTAGTTAAATGTCCTAATCTTCATGAACTGTATTAAGCATATGTACTGCGGTTTGGAATCTGTATGTTGACAAAAAAATTTGAAAATGTGCGTTACAATGGCCCCCATCTTATGTAAAAGATTGAAATAAAAAACACAAACCAAAAGCAGCGTAATAGGTAAAAAGCTTTTTTGATATGGAGGTATGTATAAAACTAGTAGCCTAAGAATTATTTACAGTTCGTCACATTCTAAAAAAGTTAAACACACCGTAAAATAACTAGGAAAATGTATTTGTACGGTGGTAAAAAATAGTCTAAACAAGGCCGAAGGGGCAGATATAATAAAGCTAATAAAATGTAAAAAAGGTCGGGTAAACACCTTTGTTTATTTATTAAGCAAAATTCCTTTAGAATATCGTATATAATGACCAAAATAAAGCCGGAGTCTCATGCATCCGAAATCCGATGACACGACGATCCGACGGTGCTCCTATTGGTCGAAATATTTTGACAACAATTTTTATCCGATAATTTTAACCATAGAATAACTAACTGATTTTAACTAATCATCCGACGTCGTATAAAGTTAAATTTTGTTTAACTTTTGTACGATATCGTGTGTTTTTTAACCTCACTTTTTTTGAAAACATTTGTTTTTAAAAACAAGTTTAGTGGGAAGTGGGCAATTTCGGGATATTTGGCGAGGAAGTTATTTTTATAAGTGTTTCTCCAATAAAACATGACATGAATCTCTATTCAGCGCAGCAGAAAAATGTTAAAACTGTCAAATTTCGGAACGAACTTTCGGATGTATGTGACAGGCTTTTTTTATTTCACACGATAACTTCAAATTTCGGATGTCGTACCATCGGATTTCAGATGCATGAGACTCCGGCTTAAGACGCAATTTTAAGAAAAAAATGTCACTTTCTGGCTTATAATAAAGTTTCAAATGTAACGTTTATATTCAAATTTTTTATGATCTACAACAGTTAGGTAGTAATTGAGACGAATTATAATTCAATTACCGGCTACTACGTTCTTGTTTTAATAGATCAAAATTCAACAAATATGGTGAGAGTGTTAATTGTGAAAGGCTCCCTTGTGGGACGCCTATGTACGATTACGGCGCGGCGGAAACAATACCTACCTGTGAAAAGACAAATTCGGGTAATTTGGGCTTGTTGTCCACACATTTGGCACTGTCGTACCATATTGAAAATTCGCAGATTCAAAAGTACATTAAACAAAAACAAAAACTACTGAAAAACACTGAAAAGTTCACTTCGGACTTGCTTCCGACTTCAAACACATCGTAAGCTAAACGTAGTACGCACAGAATATACTAACGAAAAAGAAGCCCAAGTTCCTTGTAATAAATCGGTTCCATTTTCGTAACGCCATCTCTCGACATAGCTGACATTATAGGTTAGCCAAAGGGGTGCGGGGCCGGGGGGAATTGTAAAATACACTTTTTACATTTTTTATTCATTGCAATTTTATTTTAAAACATATTAGCTATTATGTATAATATGTCTTAAAATAAAATTACAAACAGAAACAAAAGGAATTAAATAATCTGAAATTTTTTTTTTTATTTATTGATAAAAAGTTTGGCTATACAAATTGATAAGTATATTAATTATAACCTCTTTGGTATAACATTGTTAAACAAACATTAACAAATCATAACATATCAGATCATAGAACTAAAAAGTACTATTACATAAAAACAGGTGATACAATACTTTTAAAAAATTAATTTTTAACATAATATCAAAACCGAAAAATCAAACTGCAAACACAACCACACTTATCACAACAGAAATTAACACACACTTCCGCGGCAAATGTCCAAGAAAGACTGATCATTCTGATTGGTCCGGTCCGGTCGTAGCTTACGTCGTATTGTCGGTAAGCAAAATCCCTGTCCAAAAATTTTGACGATCAGCGCCATCATCCCTCATAATTGGGAAACTTTTGCTGGAACCATTTTAAATATTTCACTTACATGGCCCTGGTAGTACGCTATAACGGACCATAGGCCGTCGCGAGGGGTGGTGGGACGGACGGCTCATTTCATTCTGCAAGACTAGCAGCGACGTTGCCAGTAGTTCTAGACGTTTCAGCACATTAAACAGTAAACATGTCTTTTAATAGTAACGCATATATCCTCTGGTTAATAACATATTATTACGCATGCTTCTTTAAAAATAAACTATTAATTTAATTAAGAAATTGAGATTTATTGATATCCGGTGAAGGTTTTAAAGTCACCTTTTCTGCAAATTAAACTAAGTAGATAGGCGCAAATTTGATATGTGGCAATGTCGCCTTCTCTATCTCAGTTGATTTTTAGGGAGAACCACATCTGTCGAGGTGGCGGTATTCGTCCTACGGGGTATTTGTCCTACCAACCGAACGTCACTTCGGGCATGTTCGGTAGTCCTAAAAATTCCTGTTTCAGGAATTTTGTCCTGGCTAACGTACTAAATCTGTCAACGTCGCATACTTTTCAATCTTGTTTTGTTTTGGAATTTGACAAGATTAACCTCAGAAAAGGTTTAAAATTATAATTTTATGAATTTGTTGACGAATAATAATGTTATGAATAATGTAATAGAACCTGATATAAGATAATCCGGAAATATTTACAAATAAAGCATAAACAAAATGAAAGTGATAACACGGTGCAACTTTGATAATGTGTTTTGCCATAAGAATACGTCTACATGGGTTGAAATCTCAGGTGTGTATCTAGATAATATGTATTCAAACAAAAGCTGTAAAACGATTAACAATTTTTAAATATTAAGCTATCACAAATTCCTGAAAATAAATTAGCCATTGATTTGCTGGAAAAAAATGTTTAATTATTTTTCCCACATGATGTCCTTTCAGGTTCCAGGTATGTGATAATATTGTATTGTTTTAATTGCAAGATCGTAGCTTACAAAAATTCATTCTTCAGGAAACAGCACGGGCATGTATTAGGCATAATAAGTAATTATAAAAATGAGCAAAAAATGAGATGGTTTAAAACAGGTAGAATTTTAAGGTTAAGAAATCTGAAACTCAAAGGAAGCTGATTAAAAACTGATAAATAAATAATATTAATTGTTTGTGTGTAAACTAGTATTTTATTATGAATCTATTTCACTGCATTGTGGTATTTTTATGAAATGTATTTCTTTTGAATTACAGCTATACGCATAATACAAAAGACGATTTACCTTCTTTAAAACCATAAGGCATATGATATATGAGATAGGTAGGTATGTACCATGTGGTAGGTACAATATGATCGAAAAAAAACGGCGTCAGTGATGGCTATGATATGAAGATCGGTGTCTTTTATATGTAAAATTATATAGGGAATGTCAGGATGCGTCATTTCCAACCAACTGGACGCCGTTTTTTCGATTATATTGAGACATAAATTAATCCTTCCTAGACCACAGACCTTTATATTATACTTCTAGCACAAGGACATATCGGCAAGCCTTAGGTTGGTGTTTACGCGTGTAGGTGTGAATCGCTATGGTGATCTGGTCGGAGATAGAAAAATATAAAATATTTATTACATAACCACACTTAATCTGATGATTTCCTATGCATTCAATACCAAGGAGTTCAGCCCCATCAGTTGTAGCCAGCATATTAGCCATACTCTTCTTATATACATGAAAATTGTATCAATCGTGTATCACATAGCACATTTAAGAGGACTGATCCTATAAAGGCATTTATTTTTGTTTTCTGTTTATAACCTCGTTAACTCATTTATTTTGTAGATTTATTGAATATTAAGCTCTAGGATAAAAAAACCTGCTTAGACAGAACATGGGTATTTTCGAATACTTTATTTAGAAGATCTTGTCAGGACAATGATATAAGATTACAGAAAAATATCTGACATAGGACAAATGTATAAAGTCTTCAGGATACCCTTCGGGAACAATTTAGAATGATGCAGCGTAAACTACAGTAAAGTCTGAACATTAAAGCATAAAGGTAATGGTATCCATACATGTGTGCAACAAAGTCGTAATATAATAAATTTTATTGTTTTCAGAAACAAAATTTCTTTAACTTAATTATGAAATACAAATAGTACACATCTTATTTTACTAAGCGTGTTGGCCGTACTCTTCGTACATACGAAAATCGGCACACAAGGCCTGAAATGCCAACAATAGTATACCTATTCTATGTAATAATATTTTTTAAGTATATTTATTTGTAGTATTATCTTTCTAGATTAAAAATATTTTTAATCAGTCTGAGAATCAATATGAATTTATTTTTAAAAAGAACAGTATACCTAAAAGCAAAAATGATTTAAGTTAGTATGTCAAAATAATAAGTTAAGGTATTTTTAGAAACCTGTATTTTAAATTGCAAAAGCTGATAGAATTTCAAATATTTTTCAAACTAAAAAAAATGTATCGATCTGAATTAATTTTTCAAATATAACCAGAAAAATATCTTAAAACGCAGCTGTGGTTGCAATACTCTGTATTGCTAAGAAAAACATTTATTTATTAAAATTACAAAATTACGGTATAAAGTTATAAAAAAGTACTTTATAAAAAAAGATCTCCAAATTGTCAAGAAAATAATAAAAAGGGAAAATTCTGAAATTTACAGAAATTTCTTTTTCACTTTATTCCAATTATGTTAATGAGAGTGAAAGTAAAGACTATGGAGAGCTTATTCGTAGTAAAGTAACTAGTTAATTAGTTATTCTGTGTATAGCAAAGAAGTACAGCTGGAAGAGCAGCAATTTTTTTTCAATTGTATAGTACTGTATGATCGAAAAAAAAACGGCGTCCAGTTAGCTTGTTAATGATTATCGATGACATTCCCCATATAATTTTAAATATAAAATGACAGCAATCATTATTTCTTAGCCGACCACTGTGACCATTGTGTATTATTCTTATTACTAATACTGCACCCAATCACTTTTTGACAATAGTATAAAAAAATAAAAAAGGTAAACAATTTTCATATTATAAAATAATTTATTTCGACATTACAGGCCATAGGCACAAACCGTCATTTTTACTCCAGGAATAGGACATACTATTTTTTCAAACGTCACAAATATTTTTTTAAACATTTCCAAACTTTTAAATAATAACAAAAAAAAAAAAAAAAAAAAAAATAAATTATACCGTATGATCGAATAAAAACGGCGTCAGCGATGGCTATGAAATGACAATCAATGACATTTCCCATATAAATTTACCATTGAGTTATAATAAAAGAGGAGATGCTATCACGTGACCAAAGCGGTACCAGGTCGGCCATATTGATGCGACTCTCTTGTCAATTCGTGCTATTGCCTGTAACGTGCCAAAATTTCACTAAACTATTTTATTTCTTTTCTTTAATAATTTAACGCTAATTGGTATTATTATTAGTCTGAAATATCGATCAGTTCAATTCAGTAAACCAAGAATAAATAAATCGTACTTACATGTTAACAAAAGTAATTATTCCATCCTTATTTTTAACTAAACATATTTCACACTTAATAACGATTTTTTTTTAGCCACAAAACTAGTTTGATTTAATACAATTTAATATTTATTTTAACCGAAATAGATAAAAATAATTCTTTCCGCCGTTAATTCTGTTTATATACTAAATACGTAGGTTAGAAGTTTTTGAATTGAACTTGTCAAATATTTATTTATATTTTTATTAACATTAACTATTAGGCAACCCAAAATATACTTTAATAAATTAGGTATATATTTTTGTATTTATTTAATTTTTTTTTTTTTTTTTTTTTAAATATTTATTATTACTCATTAATTTAATATTTGTATTTTAATTTTAGGTAAATTTTCACAAGCATATTTGTCTTAAAAATATCGTATCGATCCGGCAAGTGAGTCATGCGCAATATCTCTAGATTGTTGTTATTTATTAATTTTTTGAATGTTTTGATAAGCAAATTTCTATATAACTTTCATTAATCTCGTTAACTTTATTTATTCTATTAATTATATAGATTATTGATATTAACTTTATTTTCCTTTAATATATAACTTTTCTTCATGTCTTTATTCAGCTCATAGTTGGCAATCCATATTTTATTAAGGGCTCGTGTTTTTATCTGGCTATTTCTTTGTTGCAAAAAAGGTTTTCGTTTTTCTTGGAACTACCTTGGTTTGGTCACTTTATGTTCAGCTAGTGTGAGGTACAGAGGCCTCTCGGTCATTTTTGTCAAGTTTTTGATTTTTACCCTTGTGGGGATTTTCGAGTGTGCCTCAAAAATTACTGCAGCATCCTATCTTACCTTTTGTTTTTTTGGACGGTGCTACGGTTTACCGGCATGGTACAAAGAATACAAGGTATGATCGATAGCGGCTCCAATTTCGTTCAGTTCGCGCATACCACCTGTGACGTCACTATGAAAATAATGAATAAATAAAAAATAAAGAAAGTTGACAGGAGATCTGCATCTTTGATCTGCATTTTTTGGGGTTATGGTTAAGAATTGTTTTATTTTAAGACTTTTAGTTCATTTAATTTAATAATTACTAAAACTAGCAGTTCCAAAAAATATATTTAAAAATAATAATTACTAATATAACATGGATTTGGTCGATAATAGCCTTAGGTAAGAATACTAAATTTATTTCTATATTCGGTATAAAATTGTTTATTAGGTTTTTAGTTTATGGTAAATAATTTTCATGTTCATTGCCTCTGAATTCACATGAGGACAGAGATGAGGTTATCTATGGTAAAGTAACCACAAGAGGAATTATTACATCATTTAAAAATGTTGGGAAGTTTATTGTTTCCCATCGAAAAGTAGAAAATACCAATGCAGATGAACGTATTGTAATTGTGATAGAAAGTAATTCCAAGGGTGAAGTTTATTATAATTAGTGACCTGTGCTTCTTTTTATATGTCGATGTTTCAGGTTTTGAGAATAAATTGGTTGAACGACACCCAAATTTTAAAGGAAGTATTTGCATACCCAAAATATGCCCATCGAGGATTATATTATAGCTCAAATTTCCTTTAATGGTAGACAATTATTCAATGCAAATTAACTTTTAAGTGACTGAAATATTAAATAGTTTACAATATGGTATATCACTAAAAATATATTACTTTTAAGGTACAATTAGGGCCCGATACATTTCAAAAGTAGAATATTATTTATATATTAAATAAGGTATTGTACCAACAATCAATTTATATTAATAACGGAGATTAAAATAACAGAATAAATAGTTTCTTTTTTTTTATACTACAAAAATAAACTATAGAATACAACAGTATTTAAAAAATAAATAAAAAGGTATGTTCCGGCCAAGGTTTCGAACTCCGGTCTCTCGCTTCCTATCCCGACTCCTTATGCACTGCTCTATAGTAACTTGCTTAGCGTTAATTCAATGACGGTATATAAACAAAAAAACAGATTTATAAGAATATCTTGACGATTTGAACTGGCGCGCGGAGCGTGCTGACCAATAGCGCCTGTTATCACCTGTGACGTAGCGACCAACCTGCGCAATATCATACCTTATATTCTTTGTACCCTAACCTCTTTGTTTGTACCATGGTTTACCGGTGACGGGATTTTCACCTCAAAAAGCTGACGTGGGTCAACCAAGCAGCCCGCCTTTTTTTTATTGAGCACCCCATTCCATCCAGGGGAAGAAATAATATTAATCACCTGAGGATTCGTAGAAAACCCTGAGTTAGCAGGTAAAGCCTATTTTTTTAAATTAATACATTTCTTTCCACTTTTTTCTTCTTTAAAAAAACTATCTTTTTTATGGTATCTCGTACTATGGAGAAACTATAATATTATTTCTCCGTAGGGGTTTTTCGTCGGGCAGAGAGTTTTTTGTCGGAGCCGAAGAGTTTTTGTCTGGACCGAAGAAGTTTTTTTTGTGTGGACCGAAGAAGTTTTTTCTTCTGTGTTGAAGACTTCTCTCTGAGCCAGTTTTTTGTTGGAGCAGTTTTTTTTTCGCTGTATCCATTTTACTTTTCTGGAGGAGTTGACAGTCGACGGTTGACAGTTGACAGCCGACGGTGTCTGCCCAAG